AAACATTTCACAGCCAAGGTGAAAGTAAGTTCATTGGAATGCTTTAATTAGATAGTCATTTCAAAGGTACGATTTTCCCACTGGCCTTCTTCTGTTTTCTAAGTCTGTGTTTCAAATAACATCCTGTTAAGTATATTTACTATTTTATTGTCCCTCTTTTTTATTTTGGTGATTATAACTTTAGTAACTTTTGGTCACATTAGGACACACAAAGAAATAAAGTACACTTGAGCATAGTTTGCTTTTTCTGTAATTCCATTGTTATCCAAATTTTTGTGGATTTTAAAATAAAGTTTTTAATTGTTGAAGGAATGCTAATGCTCATCCAATTGTGATGAGACTAAGCAAGTAACTGGTATTTTCCAAATAACTATAAATTCACATTCATTCAGGGGACATGGGCTTCACTGGCTGGGCTGGCATTTATTGTCAATCCCTCATTGCACTTGAGAAGGTGGTACTGAGTTGTCTTTTGAACCACTGCAGTCCATATGGTGTAGGCCCACCCACAATGCTGTAAGGGAGGGAATTCCAGGATTTTGAACCAGCAACACTGAAAGAACAGTGATATATTTCCAACTCAGGATGGTGAGCAGCTTGCAGGGGAACTTGCAGGAGGTGGTGTTCCTCTGGCTTTTGAGTTTCTAAATGGTAGTTGTTGTAGGTTTGAAAGGTGTTGTCTAAGAAGCCTTCTGAATTTCTGCTGTGCGACTTGTAGATGGTATACACGGATGCTGCTGCTGTGCGCCAGTGGTTCAGAAATGAATGTTTGAGGATGTACTGCTAATTGAACAGCTGTTTTGTCCTGGATGGAGTCAATCTTCTTGAGAGTTGTTGGAACTGTATTCATTCAAGCATGATGACTGGTAAAAAAGTTGTCAATGACACCAGTTCTGCATGTTCAGGAAAACAACATCTTTTTAACAAGATGAACATTTGGATCTAAGGTACAATTTTTATACCACAGTGTATATCATTATCACTGTATGGAACTTGTAAATACAACTGAAGGCTTACTGCTTAGTGATGATTAATTAAAACTGAGTTATTCAAAGTTGAAATGGCACTGCTGAGGAGCAGCGTGACGTGCTTGTTAAGATGTTTTAAATATAGCAACACATCAGAATAAAGATAAACACCTAATTTGCGGTTCTTTTTGTCACTAGTTCCAAAACAAGGCAACAGATTATCAAATACAACGGCTCTGATTATTACAAAGCATGACTGAACCAAAAATATGTTAGAATTATCTTTTTTTTTCAGTTTCACCTTATCATATGGTTCCTTGAATATTGTTTTATGTGGTTCATGATTAGAAGTAATATTTTAGGATACATACATTTTTGCACATTACTGATTTGTTTTAGATTTTTCAACTTTGGTATCTTGAGCCACTCTTAGTCAAAAGACATTTCTACCTTTATCAAAGTGCTTACCAATCTCACTATTTGGATATAATGTTTAGGATTACATTTGGAAAAATTACCATTAAGCCATATTTTGTTTTTAAATCTGTTTGAACTATTCATATGGTCCAAGAGATCTAATAGTTCTTGATAAGGACAGATCAGAATGACAGATCTCTTGAGTGCGGAATCTACATTGCCATGCTGAGGGAGCTGTTGTCTGTGCTTTCGACACTTCTACCAGTTTATGTATTATAAACACCTTAGCCAAGCACTCTTGTCGGTGAGGTGGACAAAGGTGGACAGAATTTGGTTTGCAGTGCAGCTCAATTTAATTAACAAAATATTCCTTATTTTCCCAAATTTCCACAATGTTTACTCTATATCTCTACCTGTCTGAGAAAGCATATTACTTGCAATGATCCACATATTTGAGCTGAGCTGTTAGAATCCCCTTTCTCTCTTCTCTGACACAGGGCTGCCTTTCTTCCATGACAGTGGGTCTCACGTCAGGTTGGATTTTCTTGGGTTGCCTCACATGGTCTTCTGCCACAAGCCTTGCTGCAAGTCTTGGTTGTGAATCTTCACTGTAAGTTTTGGATGAGGGCCTTCACTGAGGGGGTGGCTTCCCGGTGCTTTTATTCCCCTTAACCAGACCTTCCCAAATGTTCTGCGGCCTTTGGCCAATGGGGTCATGAGCTGTGCTCTGAGAATCCAATGGCGTTGCAGCAACATTCTTCACTGTTCCCGTGCGGGGGAGGTGTAAAGTGCACTGGGTGGAAGTCAAGGTGCTTGGAAGTCTGACTGAAACTTCTCCAGGATATAACTCTTGGGCTGGCTGTAACTTGTTCCCCCCGAACCTTTGTGACCTTGGTTTCCTCTGTTCCCTGTAACCAACATCTTCTGGCTGCTGCTTAATTTAGTGTGGCCAATTTTCTGTCAGGCCTGATTTCTCTGGCTGTGGGTCAATTTGGAATTTATGGTTTTGAACTTGTGGTCACTTCACCACAGAATGCTGCACTTTTAAAGTGCCAAATTGTCTGAAAGGCTTTTACAGACAGAGATAAGATATCTTCTAGGGCTACTTGAAGAAGATTTGTTAGAGGGATACAAGCAGTTTACCAAAAGATATTGATCAGTTAAGGAAGTGGACAATAAGTTGTCAAATGGAGTGTAATGTGGGAAAATGTGAAGTTTTTTTTATTTTGGAAGGGAGAACAACAGAATGAAGAAAAACTGCAGAAAGCTACAATACAAAGGGATTTGGGGGATACTTGTGCATGAAACATAGGAAGTGCAATCAGGAAGCCAAATGGAATGTTGGCCCTTATTTCAAGGGGGTTGGAATATGAGAGTAGGGAAGTCTTACTGCAACTGTACAAGGTGAGACCACGTCTGGAGTACTGTGAGCATTTTTGGTCCTGACAGACTACTCCTGTTCCTATTTTTTATGGTCTTATGGTTAACAGCAGGGGACATATGCTGATGAATATTTACTTCTGAACAAACATCAGTAAAACAGACTGTGAAGTCATTTTATCTCAGAAGTCATAAGTGGGTAAATACCAACTGCAAAATGTACTTAGATGCTCCTGAAATGACATTCAGTGAACAAGAAAGGTATCATAAGAGTGCAAATTCTTGCTTTGTAATTTGGAACCAGTGAGGCAATGTCTTAAATAATGAATGAACAAATCAATGCAACGTTATAAAATGCCAAACAATCCCCAATGATCTATAAGTATGCCACTGAACTTCGCTCAAATTATGGAGAAAAGTTGACTTGCCATTTTGCGGATATGGCCAGCGCTTGATTGCATCATCATTCGGTATGCCATGTCTCAAAGATGACATCCTACAGGAAAGTAATAAATAACATTGTTTTGGCTGGAAGTAAGCAGCGTAGTATTCATCAAAAATAATTTTTAAGCTCTCCACGTCGTATCTTCGTTTCCGGTGACTCAATGTTCCTTCCTTGTGTCTGTCTGCATTTTATTGGACAATGTAACCCCACAGTGCTCCTCCTGGGAGTTCACTGCTTGTCTTGCAGCGAGATGCGGGTTAGATTCAATGGCAGCAAGTTTCCATTCTCGAAATTTTTATTATGCTGAGTGAGCACTCCGCTTCTGTTTTATTGAACGTATTTATGCGACCAAACTCACTGTAAATAAATAAAAATAACCATCGAGACTAAGATCGGAATCAAATTGAGGTACTGTGCACCTCAATCTTTAACGATGACGATTAACACAACACACTGTGTGGGTGTCTGCACTTTGTAGAATGTTCCATTGCAGTCTTACTGCAGACAATAAACTGAAACCAAAACAAGCTTACGTCGAGAGAATCTGTCAATCTTTGGGGAATAAATGAAGTGACATGAAGGAATAATGACATGAAGGAATAATATAATGATTTAAAAGGTTCTTAGGTTTCCACGCTGTTTTCAGTGAAGATAGGTGTTAGTGCTTCAATTACCTACTCCAGTTCGATATCTAATTTTACTCGCAAATATCAGTGAAGCTCTTGGAACGGATATGATTGACTGCGACTGAAGTCCTCTCAATGTAAAAAAAGGGACTAAAAATGCTTCATTTTTCATTATTGATCTTCACCAAACATACCGCCCTACGTAGCAGATTCGGAATACAAGAAAGGGGAAAAATGCAATTCAACCTACCAAGGAAAGGGATTTTACGTATGGATGAATCTTAAAATGGTCCTGCTTGTGAAACAGTGATCAGGGATCTCAGTCAAATAATCCGTGCATCTAAATAAAAAAAAACACTGCTGGAATATATAACATCAGGATAGCTTAGTTATAACATTCTGGGGTAAAATAGCGACCCACTGCAGCAGCAAGGTTGCAATCGTCTCACATCACATATACAAAATCGCCCTTGTGTACACTTTATCTTCACGCGGAATTGCTTGTTCATCAGAAAATGCCAACTGATCCACCTTCGGGTTCCTCATTAGTAAGCGCCAGTAAGCAGCGTGACGAAGGGGCGTATCCAAGGTCTTGTTCTACCTTCCCGGCTTTGCTTTCATTACAGTTCAGGAATCATCAAGTTATGCAGAATAACATCATGTCAACATCCATCATGTTCAAAACTTGTTGAAACCAATATTCCGTCTTGGGTTAAATTAGCAAGACAAAATTACTCATTTGTTGATTTGTTTAACTAATTATTTAAATCATAAAAATATTTAAATCATTTAATTTTATATATTTTGACTGTTTCGAAAAGTCTCCAATCTAAGTCTTATTCCATTGCTTAATTTGCTTTGGTACAGTAAATTCAAAGGGACTGAATGTGGGAATTACAGACCATCCTATGCTGTAACAACTCCTGGTCAATTGCTCCGCGGGAAGAGGGAAGGGCAGAGGAAAGGGCACCTCCCACAAGCGGGAGAAGTGACTCATTCACAATTTCTGAACTGCTGCCAAACCCCACCTCGGAGTTAACCTTTGTGAATAAGGAAGATGCAGAAGATGAAAGCTTTCCCGGACGTCTGGCCCGGATCTGGACACTTGGTCAGATTTAACTCCGCAATCACCACTCTATCCAGTCAGAGGCAGAGGCAAATGCAATGAAACTCCGGCTACTTTGCTGCAATGACTTGCCTCTCTGCAACAGCAGCGCAGCCAACGGCAGCCTGGACAGCGACGGGAGTTTCAGCACCACGGCCAGGGACCAGGGTGGCGAGGATGGGCTCCTGCTGCCCACTTTCTCCACAGCCTCCAAGGTCAGAGTCGTCATCACCCTGACCATCTTCTTGATCTCCTCCTACCTCAACTTGACTGTGCTGTGTGACGCTCTGAGGAGGAGAGGCACGGCCAGATCCCACATCAGGACACTGATTGTGAACCTGTCGTGCGCTGACCTGCTGGTCACCTTCATTGTGATGCCCCTGGATGCTGCCTGGAACATCACAGTGCAATGGTACGCCGGGGACTCTGCCTGCAAACTCCTCATGTTCCTCAAGCTCCTTTCCATGTACTCGTGCGCCTTCATCACGGTGGTAATCAGCCTCGATCGTTACTGTGCCATTCTGCACCCTCTGGGCATTAGCAGAGCCAACGAAAGGAACCGAACCATGCTCATCTGGGCCTGGATCATGAGTGTCATTTTGGCTACCCCTCAGGTAATACACATAATAATATAATCTGGGCATCGAAACAAAGAAGGTTTCAATCTGTAGTTGGAGTGCAGTTTGAACGAGCTAGGGTGTTAGTTTTGTTTTAAGTAACAGCAAAATCATTTCTCTAAAACCCACGATTGGTGTAATAGATTTTTGTTTCTAATCAACCTGTCCAGAGTTACCTGGAGCAGGTGGGACTTGAACTTGTGCAGATCTTTCACCAACGGCAAAGCTGCATTCTAGCTTGGGACCACACTGTCTCACTTTAATAATACTGCTTTGGTGCAATGGTTGCAATGTTTCTGTTGGGAGAACCAACCGAGTTGAAATTGCAAACGCTGGGCTTAAATACAGGAGCGTCAAGTTCAAACCCTACTCTGAAAAAAGAAGCCAGTAAGTAAAGCCGATCATTCTGCTTGGGTCATTGCTGGTTTTAAGAAGATTTTGTTAGCTGCGTGATTTTGCTTTGTCCATTTCGGGTGCATTTAATATACACCAATGTTAAAATGGTGGATGAAGCTGGGAAGTCGAAGTGTTGTGACCATACCATATTACCTGCCGAAAATGTCAGCGTTTCACATTTACTGCTGTCCAACGTGATGCATTTCATGGATCATTTAAATATTCAGTGGAAACTGTTTAAGATTTGACTGGATAAAAAAAATCAAACAAATCACAGTCTATCAAATCACTGCTAACAGAACCCAGAGAAGATCTTAGCAAATGTTTTCCAACCTGGATGAAATACATTTCTCATGCGTATTTCTCACTTGAGTAACAAGTGGCTGGGTGAATGTAACATTACAAGTTGGTGAAATGTGTAGTTGGTGTTGGAGAGATGGATGTTGATATATTTTAGAATGAGTGACCATTTAAATGGAGCTGTTGTATTTTGAAGGAAGTACAGGAAGGAAGATGAAGAAGAGACTGGAAAAGATAAGCTCTAGTTAAAACACAACTCAAAATTTGTATGAGAGATAGTAGGAACTGCCAATGCTGGAGTCTGAGATAACAAGGTGTAGAGGTGGATAAACACAGCAGGCCAGGCAGCATCAGAGGAGCAGGAAAGCTAATGTTTCGGGTATGATCATCTCATTTCATGAGCGGTATGAAGGTCTTTGATATGGTGCAAAGGAGGTATAAAAAATAGTTACAGAGATTGGGCATTTTACCTATAAAGTTAATTTGAGGAGGCTGAGTTTACTCATCTTGGATCAAAGGAGATTGAGGGTATTTGATAAAAGTTTACAAGATGATGACAGATATAGACTGATTAGACAAAAGAATGAGTTGATTGTACAAAGACCAGGAGACAAGATTGAAAATTCTGGGAAACAGATGCAGGAGGAAGGTGAGGAAGTTTTTTTTTTAATTCTGTGAGTGGTAATGAGCTGGAACTCATGGCCCACAAGAGTAATGGACACCAGAGAAGATTGAATGATGATTTCAAAGGAAATTGGATGAGTGCTTGAAATAAACTTACAAGGCCACTGGGACAGAGCAGGCGAATGGAACTGACTTGATTATTCTAGAGAGAACCAGGGGAGAAACCAGATGGGCCCAATAGTCGTTGTCTATACAGTGAATGTCTTTGTAACTTTATGGCCAGACACACGTACAGAAATCTTTGATGTGGGGCAACATGTTGATGAAGTTTTGTTAGGCTTGTACTTGCTGGAGTTTATAAGAATGCAAGGAGACAATATTGAAACACATAGACTTTTTAGGGGTCTTGACAAGGTGGGTGTGGAGAAATTTTTTCCCCTTTTGGGAGAGTTTAGGAGTAGAGGGCATTATCTCAGTGTAAGTGATTGCCCACTTAAGACTGATATAGGGACAGATTTCTTCTCTCAGAGGGCAATGAATCTTTGGAATTCTTTAAAACAGTGGGCTGTCAAGGCTGGGTTGTTAAGTATAGTCAAGGCTGAGATAGACAGATTTTTATTCAGTAAGTGAATCATGGTTTATGGGGAAAAGGCAAGAAAGTGGAGCAGAGGATTGCCAAATCAATATTGATCTCTTTGAATTGTGAAGCAGACACGATGGACTGATTAGTCTACTTCTGCTCCTACATCTTATAGCTTTTAACAGTCCATTGGTTGCTTGGCCTCGCAACAACCCCAGCCACATCTTCGCAAACATACAGGAGAGTTGATGAGGCAAAGGGCAGCTTGCTCACCATCACTCTATTTGAGGCCACAAATGGTTGGTCCTTGACCAGACCAATTTTGAGGCTGGTGGGAAATTTCAGGGGTGGGAAGGAAGCCCAAAAAGTCATCCTGTTCATCCTTGGAATGTGAATGGGAGGGACACATGCCCATAAGTTTGGTTGCCTGTGCATGTTCCCACCTCCACTGGTCTTTTCATCATGATCCCCAAGCCACAAAAGCCTTCTCTCCTTGCTGTGAGGCTGCCCCCTACCCCACAACTAACTGATCCTGGACTCTGAGACTTTTAATCTAGATTCTACCTATAGTCCCAGTCCTGGCTACTGCTGCCCCGGTGCTGCTTGGACTATGGTGCTGCGGGCTAATCTGATTGAATAAAAACTGCAAGTGCTAGAAAATACTCAGCAGGTTTGACAGCATCTGTGGAGACAGAAGCAGAGTTAATATTTTAAGTGCAGTAGGATGCTTTTCTGGAAGTCAAATACAATGAAAGCAAAATACTGTGGACACTGGGTACTCAAATTTAAAACAGAAAGTGCAAGATAAACTCAGCAGGTCTGGCAACATCATTCCAATGCATATTTAATACCAACTCTAAAAAATATTAAATCCATACTTGAAAGGAATCAGAAGTATACAGATAGCTCTTTCAAAGAACCGGCAAAGTCCTTGAATGACTTTCTTCTGCCATGCAAGATGTTATGATTCAACTATTTGAATTACCAACCTTATATCTACTTCACCAGTTTTCTGTGTGCAAGTATAGCAATGAGTAATTGGTTACTATTTTTATTGCAGCTATTCCTCTTTCACACTGTCTCTATCGCTGTACCAGCTCCATTTACTCAATGTGTGACTCATGGCAGCTTCAAGGAGCCTTGGCAGGAAAAAGTTTACTTTCTCTTCACGTTCCTCTGGTTGTTCCTTCTGCCGCTTATAATCATGGTATTTTGCTACACAAGTATATTAGTCACCATTACAAGGAAGATGACAGTAAATGGAGATGGTAAATATTTATCTTTAACTGTTTTCATGTTGGTAAAAGCCAAAAATGTACATAATCCTTGCAATCACTTTCATATACATGAGTGAACCTGGTTAAAAATGACCCAGGTTCTTTTGTTAAGGGTCAGCAAGGAAATACAGTTCCTGGAGGAAAATTGTAAAATATCAGGATCAGGAAAGCTTTAAGTAATCCCTTCATTATTGATGATTAGTGTTTAACACAAGAAAAGGATCTGAAAATGTAGGTAAATGTAAGTTATTTTCCAAAATGGGGCAAGTCACAAAAAGAAAGCATAATTTTAGCCAGAGCAGCCAGGTTTGAGATTAAGAATCACTTATTCCCACAAAGAGTAGATTAAAACTGGAATTCACTCCATCAAAAGTCTGTGTATGTTTAAAATCTTCAAGGCTGATATTGTAGGTTTGTATGAGCAAGGCGATCAAATAATGTGAACGAAATGAACTTAGAATGCAAATAAGTGCAAGGCTATAGGAAAAGTCAGGGGAGTGGGACGCTAAATGCATTGCTCCTGCAGATGGTCAAGCTTAATACGATGGGCTGTAGCTATTTCTTAGTTCAATGATGTATTCATGATTAAAATGAATGGCAGAAAATGTTTGGAGACCACAATGAGCAACTCAAACATATGGATAAACATATGAACAAGAGGTAGTTGTAGGCCATTCAGTCCCTTGAGTCTGCAGTACCATTTAACAAGTCATGTCTGATCTGATTATCACCTCAAATTTACATTCCAGCCTCTCCCTGATAACCTTTCAAGTCTTTGCCTCACTCTGCCTTAAAAATATTCAAGGACTCCGCTTCTACTGCCATTTCAAGACAGTTCCAAAGACTAACAACTGTCTGAGAGAAAAAAGATTGCTTCATCTCTGTTTTGTATGGGTGACCCCTAATTTTAGCTTTTCCCATTAGAGGAAAAATCCTCTCTACATTGACCCCACCTTGACCCTTGATGACCTTGTATGATTTAATGAAATCATCTCTTACTCTTCTAAACTCCAGCAGATACAAGCCTAGCTTGCAAGCCTTTTCTCAAAAGACAACTCATCATTTCGGGTATGGATCTGATAAACCATCCCTGAACAGCTTCCAATGAGTTTACATTCTTCCTTAGATAAGGTGACTAGTACTGTGCAAAGTACTCTCAGTGTGGTCTCAATAGTGCCCTGAAACATAACCTACCCGCTTTGTATTGGCAATAAATGATAATATTTTATTAACGTTCTGAATAATTTGCTGTATGTGCATAATAACATTTTCAGATTCATGAGCTAGGACAACCAGATCTTTTTGTATCTCAGAGCTCTGCAATCTCTCACAATTTAGGTATTATGATCCCCTTTTATTCTTCCTGCCAAAGTGGTCAATTTCACATTTTCCGAATTTATACTCCATTTGTCAGATCTTCACTAACTCACTTTATCTATCGATATCTTTTTGTAGCCTCCTTATTTCTTCCTCACAATTTACTCTCCCAACTACGTTTGTGTCTTCTGCAAATTTGGTATCATGCCTTTAATCACTTCTTTCAAGTCATTTATACAAATTTTGATAAATCAAGGTCCCAGTAATGATTGTGGGTCCATCACTTGGAATTTTTCTTTATTCTTGGGAGTTACCTAAATGTTCCTAAATTTAGCCAATATTTGATCTAAAATGGTGATCTCAGCTGAAGGCAGAGACAATACTACAACAGTTGACCTCTGCCCAGGCTAAGGAGGAAAGAAAAAATAATTTGGGTTTCTGATACTACCGGAGTTTTAATTCACTCTGCCACAAGATGCTTATTTATGCCACTATTATTCATCCTTTGGGATTTCAATCTCACCTCTACAACACAGCAAGGTGCAAAGTGAAGATCAGATGCTTGAGTCTACCTGGACCGCTCTAGCATTCCTTGCACTGGAGAGGTCTTGGTATAAAGTGGACTGATTGTATAAAGGTCATCCAGAGTTGACCTCATAGAATGTGAGTTCCCTTACTGGGGCTGTTAATCTGGTCTAATCAGAGAGACCTGGCTGACAGGTACAAACAGGAATGACCCCCTCCAACTCTATTTTGAATTAATCCCTACCATTCCCATCACTTTGTTTTTCCATGTAAACATTGCCCTTATCAGGCTTTGCTTGTTAATGGTTCACTGTCCAAATGGGTGTTTTACTGATTAAAGTTCTTACACATTGTTGTCTATTTTACTGAGTCACTGCACACACAACCATAGATGACGTGAGGGGAAAAAAAACACTACGACTGTACAGTGGTAGTATGGGGGATGAATTTAAAAAAATAAACAGGAGATTCAGAACGTCTCCACAGTCTAGGGATTGGCTCCAAGTTGGCTGGTCACAGCCCTTGTACAGTGCCCATGTAATTAAAGGATGATTTGGTAAAGAGAAAACAATAAACAGGAGTGTCAGGGGGTCTGTTACTTTGAGAGCTGGCTCTGAGGAAGCTGTATCAGTATCAAGGATTTTCCACTTATAAATAAAGAGTGGCTTGGTGATGGGATACTGGTCTGTGTGGGGTTATTTCATAAAGCACATGATCACACTCTTGACCATACCAAAGTGGATGCTGCAATCATTTAGAGAAAGGGAAGGGAGAAAATTCATTTTAGCATCAATGAAGGAAAAAAAGGCACTCAACATCTGGTTTACATAAGCCATCCAAAAGTAAAACATTGTTTACTTGCAAAGGAACATGACTGAAAGACTTTTACATGTTGGTAAGTGTATGACAGTGTTCTGTTCATGGATGTTGGCATTTACAAACTTATAATAGTAACTTGTAATTAAGACATGCTTTTTTCCAACAAATAGATGTTGATAACCAATGATAATGGTAATTTTTTTTTCTCCCCAGTATTCTCTAAAGATGCAGATTCAAGATGTAGTAAGAACTACATTCCCAAAGTGCGAATGAAAACCTTAAAGATGACTATTGTCCTTGTGAGCACCTTCATCATATACTGGACCCCATACTATGTCTTGGGATTTTGGTACAATTTTTTTCCAGCCATGATAAACAAGAAAGTAATTCCTGAATCAATTAACCATGCCCTATTCACTTTTGGGATGCTGAACAGTTTTGTGGATCCATTGGTTTGTCGTATTGGTTATCTTAGGCTGACAAATAGCTGATGCAGTGGGCAACATGGTCAAGCCTATATTAAGCATGGTCAGAATAAAAAAAAGACAGTTGTCTTACAATGCCCTGAAAACTTTCTGACCAATTAATTGTCAAATTCAGCACGTAGCTTCGTTACTTGGTCCCATATTTTCCAAGAATGGTTTTATTTCTCAGCAGACTGCAGAGAAATAAATGGCAAGTTAATAGGCTTGTGAAAGCAATGTGCAGCAGCTGAATGTAGTTAAAACAGTTGTTAAACGTCAGACAACGTGCGTAAATTTCAGGGTTAATGGATGATACAGTAGAATTTTTACTTATTGGTCTTTCCTTTTTGTTATACAGTGAAACTGATGAAGGAGTTTCTTTGACCTTTTCAGTTTTCTGATAAATAGTTCAGTCGCTACATTCCTGTGTTCTCAGCTAGAACAAACATTTTTCGGCTCAGACACTTCTGGATTAGCACCCAACCCAATGAAAAGTGCTTACTTGCATGTTGACTCAAATAACTGCTTCTGGATGCATACAGACTGCCTCTGAAAAATTAATGAGTGAAGTGGCATTTGGTGCACTTGCAATAAAGATTCATGGAGAAGGGAATTAGTGGCTGAATTGAAGGTTTTGCTTACTGCATAGGAGCTCTTTATCAGAGATGCATGAAAGTCAGTGCTCCTTTAAAGATTGATTATATTTTTAGATTAAAGAAATTGATACCATCCAGCCTCACCACTGTTAAAGCCCACAGGCACTAACTATTTTTACTAAGTAGTGACTGTCTCTCAGAGGATTGATAATGTTTGGAATTCTCTACCCTGGAGACTGATTAAGCTTGGGTCATTGAATTAAAGGCTGAGTTAGATAGATTTTTGATCCACAAGGGAATCAACAATAATGGTGGGGAGCAAGGGAAACGGATTTAAGGCCATAATCAGATCAATTACTATTTTGTTGAATGCAGGAGAGGCACAAAGGACCATACAAATTACTCCTGCACCTATCTTTTATGTACTTGTATTTGTATAAGAAATTATCTGTTCCAAAAAATAAAATGAAACAAGAATAACGTTGGATTCCAGTGTTAATTAACAGGTGTAGTATTATAAGAGCAAAAACAACTTTTATTCATATAACATCTTTAACATATTAAAATACTTTAAATTATTTCACTTGTTCAACAGTGGTAGATACCAAGCTAATTAGGACAAGTGATCAGAAAAATTGATGAAAGAGATTGCTAAAAGTACAGCTTTATAGAAGGAGAGAGAGGTGGACAGGCACAGAAGTTTGGAAAGACCTTTTCCTAATGATGGCTATGTTTAAATTTTGACTTATCACTTGCTAGATACATTAGTACACAAAAGTAGTATTTACGCCCAATTCTTTGAGATTCCTTTCCCCAGGAGATTTTGACTCTCAACACAAATTAAAAGATGCACCCAATTATATACTCCCTTGAACCTATCTGCATGACATTTTCAATCAGTGTCAAATTAGAGAAAGTTTTGTACTGTAGGCCTATACTCATTAATATCTAGATTAAGGCCTCGTAAGCTCATTTCCCATAGTTTGTCAATAGCCAACTGACTGTAGGAACTTGCATTCCACCCTATACTTGTATGACAAAGGAACTGGAGTACAAGAATAAGAACACTTGCTGCAGTTATGCAGGGCTTTTATGAAACCTCGTTGTACAGGACTTTGATGAAATCACATCTAAAAGTTGTACCATGTACAGTTTTGATCTCCACAATAAATGGAAGGCTATACTTTCATTGGAGGCAGTGCATGGAATGTTCATTCGGGTGGGAGGATTGTCCTCTGATGAAAGACTAAGTAAATTGAGACTATAATCTCTGGAGTTTAATTAATGAGAGGTGACATTATTTAAACATTTACAATTGAGGTGGGACTTGACAGTATAGATGCTGAGAGGGTCCTTCTCCTGGCTGGAGAATCTAGAACATGGAGGCAAAATCTCACGATAAGAGGCTGATAAATAATGTAGGATTAAAATGAGGAGAACCTTCTTCACTCATAGTATGTGAATCTTTGGAATTTCCTCCCAAGAGGATTGTAGATACTCCATTAATAAATGTTGTTAAGGCTGAGATAGACAGATTTTTGATCTCTCAGGAATCAAGAGATATAGGAAGGGGGCAGAAAGGTGGAGTTATGGTGATAATCCACCACAACTTTATGAATGATAAGCATTATCAAGTGTCTGAGTGGTTTATTTCTGCTCCTATTTCTTATGTTTTCATTTTCTAATATTATCAGTTTGGTCCCCATTTGAATCCAAGTCCTGTTGATGGAAGTTCACAGTCTGGCCCATTCAGTTACCTAATTCCCATAACACTTATTTATGGATTTTCTCATGCTCCCCTCTACTTTTTAGTTTAATATATTTTTCCAATTGTTTAGTCTTTTTCCTCATTATCCTTATCATTTTTACTTTAACATTCACCTGGAAAGGTTGTGCCTACACTATGATTGTCAATGAATGGAGGTGGAAATAAACATTGAGTTATAGGGTCATGGAGATATACAACATGGAGACAGACCCTTCGGTCCAACTTTCCCAAGCCGTCCAGCTATCCTAGATAAGTCTAGTCCCATTTGCCAGCATTTGTCCCATATCCTTCTAAACCCTTCCTATTCAAATACCCATCCAGATGCCTTTTAAATGTTGTAATTGTACCAGCCTCCACCACTTCTATGTCGGCTCTTTCCAACAAGCACCACCCTCTGCGTGAAAAAGTTGCCCCTTAGGTCCCTTTTAACTCTTTCCCCTCTCACCTTAAACCTATATCCTCTAGTTTTGGATACACCCACACCAGGGAAAAGACCTTGCCTATTTACTCTATTCATGCCCCTCATGATTTTACAAACTTCTGTAAGGTCACTCCTCAGCTTCTGACACTCCAGGGAAGATAGCCTCAGCCTCTCTCCATAGTTAAACCCTCAAGCCCTGGCAACATCCTCATAAATCTTTTCTGAACCCTTTCTAGTTTCACAACATCCTTCCTATAGGAGGGAGACCAGAATTACATGCAATACTTCAAATGTGCCCTCACCAATGCCCTGTATAGCTGCAACACGATCTCCCAACTCTTATACTCAATGCACTGACCAATAAAAGCAAGCATACCAAACACCTTCTTCACTGTCTTATCTACCTGCGACTCTATTATCACAAGTAGCACTGATGGATGGTAAAATAAACAGCAGTGAAGGGTAAATATCCCACAGGTTAGGAATATATGGAAGTATAAAACATATCGTAACATAAGCTTCAGCTCAAAGTTTGAAAAGTAGAATAAAAGATAAGCTTAAGAGCTGATGGCGGTCATTGGATAGATTGGATTAATTCTTTTCATGCTTAAAGTGGAAATGCACCAATACTCTTTGGGAACAATTGATAACTGAGGTGTGGATACAACCTTAAATTGACTCTTGGCTCTCCTTTCACCATTAGATTTTATACTTCTTGCTTCTTCCTTCTGTGAGAGATTAATTTCAGTCATAAATAGAATATAGAACATAAAACAGTACAGCACAGGAATGGGCTCTTCAGCTCACGATGTTGTGCCGAACATGACACCAAATGAAACTAATCCCTTCTGCCTGCCTTTGGTCCATATCCCTCCACTCCAAGCATATTCATGTACTAATCTAAAGGTCCCTTAGATGTTCCTGTCAGATCAGCCTCCACCACTACCTCTGGCAGCTAGTTTCAGACTCTTAACACTCCCTGTGTAAAACTCTTGCCCCTCACATCTCCTTTGAGTTTTCTCCCTCTCACCTTAAATGCATGCTCCCTAGTATTAGACATTTCAACTCTGGGAAAAAGATTCTGACTGTCAACTCTATTAATGCAGTTCATAATTTTATAAACTTCTATCAAGCTTCCCCTCAGCCTCTGCCACTCCAGAGAAAACAAACTGAGTTTTTCTAGCGTCTCCTTATGGCTCATGCCCTCTAATCCAGGCAGCATCCTAGTAAACCTCTTCTGCACCCTTTCCAAAGCCACAACATCCTCCCTGTAACATGGTGACCAGAACTGAATACAATACTCTAAATGTGGCCTAATCAAAGTCTTATAAAGCTGCAACATGACATCCTGACTCTTGTACTCAATTCCTCTACCAATAAAGGCAAGAATGCCGTATGCCTCCTTTACCACCTTATCTACTTGTGTGGCCAATTTCAGGGAACTGTGGACTTGAACACTAAGAACCCTCTATACATCAATGCTGTTCAGGATCCTGCCATTAACTATATACTTCTCTTGCAGTCAACACTGCAGTTCCCAAATACTGAAGCTAATAAGCTTTATTGCTGAGTGTTCTTGTAATTTTCCCAAATAGTGTAAAATATTATGGTTCATGCCCAAGCACATAAGAAACGATCCAATTTTAAATTTGCTGAAAAGCACTACTTATCAAATCATGTGACACTAAGAAAGTTACTTTTCTCTAAAGCTACATTTAAGTATCTATCCATCCATATAAGTGCATAAGTACACATTTACACACCTAAATATAAACAATTTTATATACCTATTAGATGTTGTCTATTATTACAAAACAATGTTTTACGATGAATATGCTATGAGAAATATGCTAGTTATTGTTTAAATATTAGTGTTTACAGACTAAGGGTTCTAAATTTATGTTAGACTTGCATGACTAACCTAAACAGAACATAACGCCTCAGATTCTATTTACATTCTCTGCAGAATTAGCTAAGGGAAAAACATTCAAACATGTTCCATCACTGAATTGGATTATGCCAAAATTGATGATGGGAACATAGGAACACAAGTAAACCATGAAGCCTCTTGAGCTTTTTCAGCCATTCATTCAGTCATGCTGCTTTGCATCTTAAATACAGTTATTCATCTTAGTGCCAAATCAATAATAGTCCATTTACCTAAAAAAAAATCTCAGTTTTCACAGTTACAATTGACACGTGTCTTGCAAATTTTTGGGCAAAAATGTTCCAGATTTCTATT